GCTCCTCGAAAAGTGGAGAAGCATGTGCTGGAACATTGGGGCGGGCCCGGCAAGGGCAGCTCCGGGGCCATGCTCGGGAATGCGTCTTTCCATTTTCCAGTGCTCTGCTCCGGAAGCTACAGTATCTTGAAGGAATCCATAGGAGTCCCCAGGTAAGCCCTGAAATAACCATGAATAACCCAGCAATGTCTAGAATGTGGTGGTGGTCCGGGTCGGGAAAGTGGAGGAGCACGTGCTGGAACATAGGGGCGGGCCTGGCAGGGGCAGCTCCGGGGCCATGCTCGGGAATGCGTCTTTTCATTTTCCCGTGCTCTGCTCGGGAAGCTAGAATATCTTGAAGGAATCCCCGGGCATTCCTGGATGGGGGACACACACCACGATAAATGGAAAAGGCTGTCATGTAAGATGCAGGACAGGTCGGCATGTGCCTTTTCTGAGTTCTCCGTTTTGAGGGAAAACAACATGGTCCCAAACTGTTGACTTTGAGCCCGAATTATCCCAAGCCCGCCTTGAACTACTACAGCATACAAAGCGGACCAAAGATTGCATGTGTACGCTGAGAGAGTGCGACAGTTCCTTCGCCGTTATCGCATGTTTGGGGGCTTTAGCCATCGGAACTGTTTACTCTCGTTTCTCACTCCCAAAGCCTGGTCAACAAAGATTGGGTGGGCTAAATGCCCGGGGAGGTTGACCCGTCCCTATGCCCGAAGGAGAGAGAGAGAGAGAGAGTGAGTGTTTTTCTGCGATCTTCTGCAAGCGTTTTTCCATTATGGGGAGGGGTCGGAGGAGGGCCAGGGTTGTAGGAGATCCATCAAAAACCATGGGGGGTACGTCAATAAATGGCCTAGCCATTTATCACCCTCCGCCCCACCGCAAACATAGGGGATGGCGGTGTCTACATGCAGTACCGAACAACGAAGGGGCTCTGCATGATACTGGACGTTGCACGCAATCTCTGCCATCTAATCTTTGTACACAAAAAGGAAGAAGAGATCTGAGAACTGGAGCAGTCTGATTAGCAGTACATGTTCCACCATGTTGCTTCCAGCGTGCTCCACACGCCGTAGTTATACCACAATTGAACATAACTTGTGCCATTGCTGGAATGTCCTCAACGTCAATAACTTTCCACCGTCTGGGGTCTCCTGCGTAGTGGAGCCAGAAATGCTCGTCATGATTCTGATCCCCGGTGTGATGTTGACTGTAAGTCGCTGAGAATGTGAAGCTGCTTGGAGTCTAGAGCGGTAGGTCAACCGTCTGTGCAATCCGAGTCTGGGGAACACTGTTAAAGAATCCCACCAAGTCGTCATTATTCAAAGAAAGATTCACATGCTCTGAAGTACTTTGAAAAAAGGCATGCAAGTCTCGCCATATCTGAGGAAGTGAAAGAGACCCAAAATGGTTGGGAAAGCATGTCTGAATCATCTGCTCATTAGCTGATGCTGTCCCACGTTGTAGTCGGTCAGTGATGTTGTTGTTGTTGTAGGCAATCACACTTCAGCCTTTGCGGAACTCCTTCGTCTTTTTGAGAAACACAAAACTTTGAGGTAATCGAGCATTCGCGTTAGTGCCTCAGCATATTTTTTGTGTGTCCTGGAATGGAAGCAGAAATCTGAATCCTGCATCTTTCTGTTGTTGCTGGCATTTACATGAAGTTGGTTCGATCCTACCACATTTTGAGCACCGATGGAAAGTAGAAGCGTGGTCAATATGCCATGAGATGTGCAGCCTGATGATCTGCTGTGTGGAAAACAACAAAACGTTATAGGTACCGTACATCAGCACAAGAGGATCACTGTCCAATGCTTGTTTGTGCTGTCGGCAGCTGCTGATCTTGTCATGGTAAAGTCGGTGAAAAGTGTTCCACTCTGGAAAACAATGGACATGGAGCTGAATGTAAGATATGGTAGCAAACTTGGATCAACATCAAGCAACGAAGCACTGCATGCAATATGACCGTCAACAAGCCGTAACTTGCGATGATGTGCACATTTATGCTGACACTGGCAGGGTAGGGAGTCCGGGTCGAGGTTGGTCATCTCGAGTTCCCACTTCTCGAAATTTTAGGCAAGCTTCTGTGCTGCTTCCGCAATTCGACGTGAAGGTAGGTGCAATGCGATAAGCCAGTGTTTGTACCGCTGAGTCTGCCTGGACAACCAACACTGTGTCTGTCTGCGAAGCGAATCATGTGCGAGGAACGGTAACGACAAGACAGGACTGTGTGGCGGACTGCAATTGCGAAGCTGCAACGCTGACTTAATGAGCTTGCAAGCTTTTGATCTCATCGGTTGTTCCATGTTACGTGCAGTTCTCCGCAGCCCATAGACTTCCACATCCGTGAACTTCTGAGACCGAATTGCCTGCTGGCGTCGAAGCAGAATACGCAACAATTGCTGTTTCGACACTGCTGATTGAGGGCGAGGATTCAAGGTTTGTAACGTTCGACGAAGTCGGCAGAACTGTTTCATAAAAGTTGCTTGTGCTTGGCCTGAAGGTTTCCTGAACTTGACGACTTTGTAACCTGCAGCTCTCTTGATCAAGTAAAGAAGCGATGAACGAAGGGATGGTTCAATCGTTTCTGCCAAGGGTCAATCAACACATGCTCCCCGGTTCAGGCCGATTTGTAGTCGTCAAAGGTCTGAAGATGTCTGAGGAGCAATGGTTGGCTTCTTGTGGTAGCTGCCTTTTTGCTAACCTGGTTGGTTCCACCTGTGCAAACTGTCTCTCCAACGTTTGTTTGCGTTTGGCACGGCGGTTGTGCTCTCTAGTAATGACTGTGCTGCCCACATACGACCATACACTACTTTGACAGGAACGTTTAGTTGAGCCGGTTATCCAGTCGATCGGACGGTTGACATAGACAGCACAAAGATGGCAGAAAAGCTTGCCACACCGGCGTGGACGTTTCGCCCACGGTACAAGTACAAAACGAGGGAAGTGTGTGCTTGCTACCACCCGGTAGGAGACGGAAACCCGTTTAACGAACCAAGAGGCGGCGACAACCAATGTCATCGACATTATGTGCTGCATATGTGCCTGTCTGTATATATATATATTATTATTATATGCGTGTATGTATCTATATATATATATACATATAAATATATATATATATTTATAATATATGTATATATATATTCATACTATAATATATATATATGTATATATATATATATCTATGCGTATAAATGTATGCATACATACATACCTACATGCCTGCCCACCTACCTACCTACCTACCTACCTACCTACCTACCTACCTACCTACCTGGCTGCCTGCTTGCCTACCTGCCTGCCTACCTACCTACCACCTGCCTGCCTACCGACCTACCTACCTCCCTCCCTACCTACCTACCTGCCTACCTGCCTACCTGCTCGATGCCTGCCTTCCTGACCGACCCACCTACCCACTTGCCTGCCTTCCGACTTACATATATACGGATTATATACATACATATATACATACCATATGCATGTGATATACCCATATACATATACATATACATATATATGTATAATATATGTATATGTATATGTGTATGTATATGTATATGTATATCTATATGTATATGTATATTTATATGTATATGTATATATATATACACATGCTTACATATATATATATATGTATACATACATATATATATATACATATACACACGCATATTTGTATGTATACACACACACAGACATATACGTGCATGTATATACGTGCATATGTATACATGCACACTCACATATACACAGATGCATAGATGCATATATACGTAGATATACACAGATATACACAGGTATACACATAGGTATACATAGATATACATGGATATACATAGAAATACATAGATATACATAGATAGACATAGGTTATAAACATCTATATAAGTATCAGTATATACATATATGCATGTATGTACATATATATATATAAATACACATAGGTACATCTATATATATATATACACATACATAATATCCATATATATATATACATTTTTTGCATATATATGTACACATGTACATGCATACATGCATACATGCGTCCTTGCAACCTGCATGGCACACATACATACATACATGCATGCATACATACATACATACATACAGACAGACAGACAGACAGACATACATACATACATACATACATATGTACACACACACGCACATATACACATAAACACATACATATACACATAAACATATGCATATACACGTACGCGTGCACGCACACAATTACCTCCCTTTTGCCCAATGAGGGCCACGAGTTCAAGTTGTGGGACCAACTACCATCGCCTATTCGGGGGTGGTTTTAAGACACGTGAGATCGACCAACTTCGCGTGATGCGGGGAAGAGCGATGAGCTCGGCCACCATCGCCCAACGAAGGGGCGAGATCAACCGCCAACGCCTATAGAGAGGGTGCACATTCAAGACATGAGATCAACGATCTTCGCGTAAGGAGGGGTCTGGTTGAACATATGAGATCATCTGCCATCGCCTGGGCCGGGTTAAACTGTAGGATCAACTGCCAACCTCTCCAAGCCCCATCATTCCTGCGCAGTCGAAGCCCAGAACAAGCACATGCCGGTTCCAAACGCCCCCATCATCCCTGCCACTATCACTATGGTCATCGGTTCCAGCAACGACACCTGTCAGGAGGAGCCCGTGCCTCAGACCCTTCGCCCCCCAACTCACGGCACCCGAGCGCCAGAGCATGCATGACAGACAGCTTCCCAAAGCGGCGGGGCACTGGCCACCGACCAAAAGGCAAAAAGCACAAAGCCAAACAGGTCAAAACACATTCTCCACGCTTTTGTCATTTTTATCTTCATGTCCTTTGAGTGTGAACATCGATTTGCTTTTGACTCTACATGTACATCTGCAGGAACCAAAGTATAAATGTGCTCAATTGTGTGTCCTGCAGCCCTCGTTACCGGTATGTATGGATGCACGGTTACATGTACATGTTTGTTTACGTACATCCATTTGCAAATGGGATGTGAGGTGACGAAGCCAGGAGCGTTGACGCTTTATGGCGGCATTCAATCAGATTTTGCCGATGGCATGCATCCGTATGACAGCATACCATGGCGAAAGAAGACGACTCTGAAGCTCGTCCCTTTCGACAACTGGGCTGCGTACTTGGACTCGAGCGGGGCGCAGGCTGTGTATGGCTGTGTTGTTCACGAAGCTACCAGACTTGGCGCGTTGGGACCGCTTGCCGCAGGTCACGTTGGAGCGCTCTTTGGGCCTCGACCGCACTGATTCCGAGGACGCGCGGGGTGGGTGTCGGTTCGTTTCTATGACTGGCAATCAGGGTTTCACGTTGTGAAACGTCGAAGTTGGGTGCTTCAGGGTTGGCGGGTTTGGACTTGCTGTGGAATTCGTGATTTTGCGTTCACGTTTTGGGCTGTTTTTGGTTTCGGGGCTTGAGCTTGAAAAAATGCTCTGGACTTTCTTCTAGGTTGTGTGAGAGTCTGGTGTGTGATTGTTGCACTCGTGCAAGGAGACCGGCATGTCTGGAAAGAACCCATTGCTCTGCATCCGAAGTTCTTGGACTATACAGCCACAGCGAATCATCGCTAGGTCAATGATGCAGCTGATGGAGTTGTAAAGCACAATCGCCGATCGCCCCGACCAGAAAGAGGATATTACTTCCTGTCCGTGTAAAGCCTTCGAGCTCTTTTGCGTCTCCACTATTGCATAGCTCCTGCCTGTCTTCACGTACTGCTCCAGGCAGCTAGGCGAACCAGTCCACATAATGCTCCAAGATGCGATGTCGAGACAGCTGTTCCAAAAACACATTGCGCGCCAGCTGTGTTTCCAGAAGCTTCGTCTTTGAAGCGCGAAGCTCCGAAGTCCGAAGCACAGTGTGTCCGAGTGTCAGGCTGGAACCAAAACTGCGAAGCGCAATGCGAGTTAAGTTAATCCCGAACCCCCTGGCGGTCTGGCGGAACCGCGAATCTCGGAAGCGCTGCTTCACGGTTTTTGGCGAAGATAAAGGATCCGGAGCAAAGTGCGTCAGAGCAAGTGCGTCAAGGCCTCCAGGCTTCACCCATTGTGCCAACCACCGTCACCACCGTGGTCAACTCCCCAACCACCGACAACACATCTACCTAAACGAAGCAGGGGTGGTGTGGGCGTCATGTGAGTTGGCGCAGACGATGCTGTTGAATCTATGTCTGGCTGGTGAGGAGAGTCGCCAGGCGTTGAATGAGGCTTGCGTCAATGGCACTTTCAATGCCGAGTACTACAATGGGCCGAGTTGCATGGCACAGGCAAAGGTGACAGGCAAAGGCAGCTTGTGGACGCTTGTAAGATGTCATAAGCCTTGTCAGCCTTGTCACAGTCGTAGCGGTATGTTGCAGTCGTCACGACGACTCTGTGCCCCAAGGCTCGGCCGATCTCGCGAGAGAGTTTCTTGCTTGGGTCGAACCTGGGCCCTCGAACTACTTGCCATTCAGTGGTGTCGAGAACGACCAAAGCTTCAATGCTTGGAAATCTGGTGTGTTCCTGGTCTGCTACTGTGCGATGCTTGATGCCGAAGACTTGTGCCAAAGCCCGATGTACTACATCAATGCAGCACGTCTGATGTTTCGGGGTCCTTTGACAGACATCCAACTGGATTTGCCTACAAGTTTCGTGGTACGCATTGATCTGGAAGGCTGGGGTTTTTCAGACACAGACTCGATCCGGCTGATCAGCATGACGCAAACTTGCAGGGAAAATGCGAATGATCCGCGCGGAGTCGATGTTTATCGTTTGGGATGTCCTGGGCAGAATAGCTCTAGCTGCCGCAGGCCCGATGTGAAGGAGGACATTTCTGTTTATGTGATTTCAGCCGAGCGCACAGGAATTTACATCACTGACATCTCAATTGGGGCATCTCAGTCCGTGCTGACCTTTAGTGGTGACATAACTGCAGAGCTCTTAGATGGTGACGCGATCACTATTGATGAGTCGTCCATTATCATGAACAACAAAAACCACACCGCTTGGAACATTGCTGAGCAACACGTGGTGTCAAAGCTTTCTGGATTCTACGGCTATGCCGACGAGCCCAGTGTCAAGCGCATGCTCTGGAATCGAGTGTCCTATGTCCCGGGAGAGACCAACAAGTTTCTCTGTTCGAGCACTTGAGAATCGATTTTTGCATTCCGGAGGGCATGGAGGGCTTCTAAGCTCTTTGGTTGTAGGCTGCCAAAGGTGGCTTAGCGGCTTGGCCAAAGTCCGAAAGTTCAGGTTTCAGGCAATGCCTCCAAAGGCCAGACCGCACAGGAATGATAGCTGAAGATAGAAAAATGTTTTGCATCTTGCATCGCCTCCATGGAGGTTGAGCATCCCCGTCGGCTGGATCGAGACGGACACCGAGAGCATCCCACAGTTCAGCTTCGTGCAAAACAAGGGCCGCTGGGCTCGACGCAACCGACTCCAGACGAAGGCTGAGGGTGTCTCTTTCTGGGGTCAAAATGCATTGATTTCAATATATTTCAATACTTTCAATGGCGTGTGCTGTTCTTTCATGGGTAAACTTCCTAGTTCGGCCAGGGGCCAGGACTGCTCACCTCCTGTCGTTCGCCAGGAAGAGATCAAAGTTGACTTCTCTGCAACTGTGAAGATCTGTTGGGGAGCGTTTGACGAGGGACGCCAGCAGTACTACGGAGAAGCAGGTGTCCTGCAGTTTTCCAGCCCAACCTTCATGGCAGATGCAGGAGTGTATCTCACAACGAGATTACAAGGTGGAGTGGGTCAGGCGGTCCTGTCCTTCTCTCCGTCAACTGGAACCACATTTTACAAGGCCTTTCACACGCCACTGGTTGCCCCTCGGCGGCATCAGCTTTTTGAAGCTTCTTGCTCAGAGCAGCAAGCAACCCCGAGGTCCGGCTTCTATTCAAAGAGGTAGACTTCATGTTGGAGCCCCTCCTTGCGGGTGCAATTGAGAAGCCAGAAGAGCTCGAAGCCATGCCGGAAGAGCTTCATGTGGGCATGGAGAGACTTCTCCTGAACCAGCTCGAAGTTAGGGTGCTAGTCAGGATAATCTGGGGTTGCACTGGCAATGTGTTGGTTTTGCAACTAGCGAAAGATACGTTCCCTGCTCTTTCGCCTTGCAATAGCCGATCTCAGAGAGACAGCGGGCCATTCCCGTCAACCCCGTAAATGTGATGATTAACCCCTGAGCCCAAATTCAGCCAGCCTCCACAAGGAATTCAGCCGGCTGAAATCCTTGTGCCCCCCAAGGATTTCAGCCAGCACCAGCCCAGCCTCGGTTACCCCGGTGCCGCCTCAAAATCGACTCCCAAATGGATGTCCCGGGTGTCCCCGTGTTTTTGCTGAAATCCTGTCCCAAACAGATTCCTCAGACAGAGAGAGAGATGATTGATGAGATGAATGAAATTTGATGGTGCGTTTGCTGCAATTCTGAGAGATGCGTCGGTTGCCGCGTAGCAGCAGCAGCCGCGCCTCAAGCCATGCCATGCAAGAATTCATGAGGCAAACCCTAAACCCTAGAACCCCACACCCTAAAACCCTGAAGCCCTAAACCTTAGAACCCTAAACCCTAAAACCCTGAAGCCCTAAACCCTAGAGCCCTAAACCCTACAACCCTAAAACCCTGAAACCCTAAACCCTAGAACCCTAAACCCTAAAACCCTGAAGCCCTAGAACCCTAAACCCTAAAACCCTGAAGCCCTAAACCCTAGAACCCTAAACCCTAAAACCCTGAAGCCCTAAAC